AGGCACAAGACATACATTTTTCAAACGTAATGAAGTCCTTGTCAGGCAATCCACGAACCATCTCATTCTTCGCAAGACAATTTAGGTTCTTGGCATTAGCATGACCTAGTCTTCTGTGCCACAGCATTGAAGTTTGTTCGGAGATCTTGGAGAAAAGACACGTAATTTGTTCAGGAAGATTGCTATTCATATCGATGATATAGGCATTTCCATCCCTTTTAGATTTTACAAGAATCCACTCTTCTGGGATGACAAATCCTGGCTTGAGAATCATGCATTCCTTATCAGTGAAGTGCGTAGAATAGCCCTTGTCACATATATGAGAAATACTTAACAAACTATGCTTCAGCTCGGGAGCAAAATTAACATTCTTGAAACTTAAAACCCCATTTGAGACAGTTCTTCTCTGAGTAATTTTGCCACCATCTCCACCTGCAAAGGAGATATATCCCCCATTAAAGGATTGAATGTTATGCAATTGGGCGATATCTCCTGTCATATGCCGGGAACAGCCGCTGACGACAAACCATGGTCTGACAACATTTCCTCGTAACTGTCCCTGCAAAATGTGTGGGTTTACTTAGATTTGGGAACCCAGGTCATTATTTTCCTGGGTGGTCCCGATGCCTTTTTAGATTGATAAATTTTGGAATTTTTAGAGGACACGGAGGATGAATTAGAAACTTGTTTGGGCAGCCATTGATAATTGGGTTTTCTAATTGTCCTGAATATTTTTAAGCTTGAATGAGTGTCAGTTTGCTTGGGGCATGTGGGTTTTCTACCATATTTGGTTGAAGACTCACTGTTGTTCCTTGACGAAACCAATCTTGGCTTAGCCATGTTTGGTTTTGGCAAACTACTTGGGACTTTGTGATAAAAAACCCTTTTATGTTTTTGAGAATTGGCTCGTTTTCTACTTTGATCATCTTTCTTTTCACCATTCTGGGAACCATTTCTAGAGGACTTTCTAGTTAAAGACCTTCCTCTGGATTCGTTCTCTCCTCTTGAAAATTTGAAATGTACAAACATACGATTTTGACAATTTCTAGCTATATGACCACCAACACCACAGTTGAAACAAATCTATTTGTTATTGTTATAACTTGTGTTACAATGATCAGATTTGTTTTCCTTACTATCACCCCTGCTTCTCTCACAAGAAAATGAACATGAATTAGGTTGTGAGGCAAGCGAGGGTACATTAAATGTAGAAGTTTGTGAAGTAGATGGTTTCTCAAATCATTATGACACACATCAAAATTGTCAACCAAATTGTTCAAATCAGACTTTTTCAAACCATTCAAAACAATATCAGAAGTAATAAAAACACCATCACAAAAAGCATTATCTTTTGAAACATCAGAAAACATATTGTCTTTATTTAAAACTAAAGCTTCAGGTTTAGACTCGATTTTATTTTTAGAAACATATCCTTCAACTTCGTGCTTTGACTGATTCAAGGATTGATCTGCAGGAGAAGTAGAAATGTTAGTACTTTCAACATTAATAAATCCTCCCAAAATAAAACCGGATGACTTGCCATAAACCACAAATGATTAATTGGCAATCTCTTCTTTGGACAAAGGCTTGGACACATATGAATGATTGAAAGGATGGGGCACATGGTTATACCCTAGATCTTTTGATTGATTCTTCTTAAATTGCATGTTGTGGTCTATCATATTTGCAACTACCTCACTTGAGAAACCATATTTTCTAACATCAAGCTTGGCGGTTTCAAATTTTCCTTTCAAACATTCAATTTCAGCCACTAGTTCAGCGTTCTGTTTGACTACATAATCATAATTTTCACATTTATTACTGTAGTCTTCCTGAAGTCTCCTAAAGTCATTAATTTTTTATTCCAATTGTGCTTTGAGTGGTTTTTGACCTTTTCTAAGTTGGTACCCTTCATATCAAAGGTCTTCTACGTCCCTTATTAATTTTTCATTAATTTCATGAAGAATCTTAAGATTTTCTACTTCACTGCCTAATGTCTCAATTTTGTCATGCAGAGTTTTAACATAGTCAATACAAGCTTGAGATCATGATGGAAGACTTACCTTGGCTGAATTAGGTTCATGAGAAGTGGATACCATCATCTTATCTTTAGCTGCCAAAATCTCTGCTAGGGCATCATCACAAACTTGTGCTAGGTGGGTAGCTTCACATCCAGATAGGTTCATGGCTTGCATCTGATCCTCCCAATCAAATGACTGAGTGACCATAGCTTTCTCGTTGTTTGTTTGAGTACCACTTCGATTGTTTCCAACTTCAACTATTGTCCTGTCATTATTTAATCTTCTGTCTGGCTGTGGACAATCACGAGCAAAATTCCCTTTCTCATGAAAGTTAAAACATCGAAGCTTCCCCTTGTTGAACCCAACCTTCTTGTTAGCACTCATTCCCTAGTTATTCTTTCCAGTCTTTTTGGTAAATTGTTTTGCCCTAAAGACTGCCATGGGAATTTTCCATGTAATATCCATCTCCTCAACGTCTTCAGGGTGAATCTGATCAAGATAGGCAAATGACAATTGAGGTGGGAGATCTCCGACTACGAGTGCATTGTAGCAATTGACAAGCCCTAAAGCAAGTGCAAGCTTTTCATCACTCTCCTTTCCCTTTGAATAAGAAGCCCCAATTGAAGATGATGCAGAGGAAGCGGGTGGAGTAGGAAAGGTCTGCTTTTGAATTTGTGGAGCAGTAAATGATTGACCTGCATAAGGAAGAGAAAACGACAGGGATTAAATAACGTTGTTAGAGGAGATGCCAGGATTCTCAGCTGAATACGAGCTCACATGGTTAATTTCCCGCTACTTGTCATCAATATCACATGCCTTGATGACTGCCATTACTTCAGCTAGAGAGAGGCAGCTGAGATCCTTAGTTTTCTTAATAACAGCTACATTCATGTCCCAAGATTTTGGGAGAGCATTCAGTAGCTTCTTGTTCACTTCTGACTTTGTGTAGAAGATCCCAGCCACAGTCATTTCTATGTTTAGAGTTGTGAACTGCTGCAGTTGTGATTCAAGAGTCTCTCCAGGAACATAATTAAACATATTAAAATGTTTCACAACATATCCTGGCGACTTTCTCGCATATCTTCGTTCCCTTCATACGCCTCAATCAGTGCTTCCCACAAAGCTTTAGCCGATGTATACTCTCTGAACCCTTGAGCAATGTTTGTTGACAAGGCCATGGTCAAGATGGCCAACGCGTTTTCCTGCTCCTCCACACTTTCAAAGTCTTCATCAGTATAATTTTGTATTTTCTTATCAACCACTTGCCCAACAACTGTAGTGGTTACTCTAACTGATTCTTGATGACACATTTCCACAACTTGAAATCCTTCATTTTTATATACTTCTCTATTCTGTACTTCCACTCGGGAAACCCATCAGCAGAAATTAACCTTGGAATTCGCGTGGTGGTACCCATGACAACATCAAGCTCTTGAAAGTGGTTTTGACTTTGAGATTCCATTTTTAACAATTAATTAAAATTAAAATTAAAATATGAAGTGATTTAGTTAAAAAACCGATGTACTACAAAGTTTTAAAATATAAACTGATTTAATATTCAATTAAGCCAAAAATGAGTTTGTGGCCGTAAACTCAGAGTTTGCGGCCGTAAACTATAAATTTTTTGATTGACGGTGCAAGAATATAATTTAGATTCACGGTCCAAGGTTTTACGGTTAAAGAATACGGTCTTCGATTCCGGGTTTACGGTTCAAGAAAGAAATAGGGATTGCGGCCGTAAATAGGGATTACGGCCGGAAGCTTGGGCTGTAAACAACGATTATTTCAGTTTCTCGATGAAACCAAAAATCCTTTTGCAGAAAAACACGAACTTGCTCTCAGTCCAATAAAACCTTGCTCCAAAATAGATTGTAGAATGCCTTTGACACTGGTTCTGCTCTGATACCAATTGTAAGCTCCAAATAACGGATCTTACCAGAGATCAAAAGCAAATACAATCACACAAAGCAATAATAAACACAGAAGGAGAACAAACCAAGCTTGCACACGTTTTATAGCAATAAATGTCTGGTACAACTTGATGCAAATTGTGAACTCTAAAGGCATCAACAACCACAAAACATCTGACTAACCCACTATTTATATACCACATGACCGAGAAGAGTTTACGGCCATAAGGTGTTTACTACCGTAAACTCATTACAACCGTAAACTATTACAAAACAAGCTACCAACACACTCCCTACTATTAAATCGTAAAGCCTAGACCAAACCACTAAATTGAGCTCTTCAACAAACACCCATGCATGACCAAATGAGGTCTAAACCCATAACCAACACCCTTACATGACCAAATGAGGTCCAAACCCACAACCAACACTATGGACATGACCAAATGAGGTCCAAACCCACAACCAACACTATGGACATGACCAAATGAGGTCCAAACCCACAACTAACACTATGGACATGAACAAATGAGGTCCAAACCCACAACCAACACTATGGATGCGACCAAATGAGGTCCATACCCACAACCAACACTCATGCATAACCAAATGAGGTCCAAACCCACAACCAACACCCATAAATGACCAAATGCGGTCCAAACCCACAACCAAAACTATGGACATGACCAAATGAGGTCCAAACCCACAACCAAGACTATGACATGACCAAATGAGGTCCAAACCCACAACCAACACCCATGCATGACCAAATGAGGTCTAAACCCACAACCAACACCCATATATGACCAAATGAGGTAAAAAAAATTAATTTTACATATTAATTAATAATTTATATGTAAATTTATTTTTTTGTTTGATAAAAAAAAACAATGCTAGTATGGATATTATATTTAATTAATATTGTAAATAGTTTTTTACATGAATATAATACATATTAATGTAAATACAAGATATATTAATGTGTAATACAAAATGTGTAATCATTATCGTATCCTAATAACCGCCGTTCTAAGTACACCTCTGTAGACTGCAATTAATCGGAGAACTGATGGCCTCAGTCAACATCGCTTCACCTCCGACTGATGATCCTTATAAACCGTTCGCTTTTGTAAATTTCGTCATTCTCACATATTCATTAGGTTACGATAACTTCAATTACTCCTTCTTCCTGTTTGAAAAAAAAATTGATTTTTAGAAAAGAAGATGAATGTTGATCCGTGGGCCCGTCCAAACTTCAATCTCTGGAGTGTAAGTACAGAACCACTAAAAACAAACCGGTGGTTGAATACAGGAAGGCAAACGACAAGAGTTTTGCCATTCGCATTGTCCATGGTGGGTTCTTTACAGACTGCCCAGGCAAGGCGTATCAACAGAACAAGGTTCACTTCATTTCTCATGTGAACATCGATTCGTTAGACATGGAGTTGCTTGGGCGTTTTTCTAGAAGCCTTGGGTATACCAGTTTGGGGAACTGGTATCATACGCCCATCAGAGAACACAGTGGGTTGTAAATCATTCCAATACTAAATGATGAATGTTTGGAACCATTCAAGATGTTAGTTAGGGCCCACGAATTCAAAGAGATTGAACATCTCTATGTTGAACACAGGCCTGTTTTTGTTCCAAACAATTTCCCACACTTTTTGATGAACTCTCCAGCCAAATGTGTTAAGAAGCTTATTCACATGTCTGTAACATAACATCTAACGACTTGGGTTGATGATGGAATAACATACATCCAGCATATGCTAAACATGACAATTCCAAGAGAAAAAATGGTGGATGCTATGGACATGGCGAAAGAAAATTTCGCAGCATGGAAAAACATAGCCTAGGTGAACTATGTTGTAATCTTTTTTTATGATTAATATAGAGTGAATATGATACTCTACTTTTGTACTTAATATGAAACTCTTTTATTTAATGAATTGTTATATATTATGTCTATAGGTCATATTTTTTTGATTATATAGTAAGTCTACATTTGATGTTTTACATTATGTCCCTATTTTGATATATTATGTTGTTAAAAAGGCAATGTTGTTTGCTAACACAGGGGTATAACAGTCTATTACATGTTATATGCCCAAATTTAATGGTGTTTGCAATATAAATGTTTTAGGGGCAACATCGGAATTAGTTATCATAATAATTTTATATGTTAATTATATCCATGTTTTGTATAACTTGTAACTGAGTCATATTTGTCTCTGTTTTAGATAATTTTTTATTAAGATGGCAATGTACTTTGAAACCTAGTTGTAACCTGTGTTTATGCTAACATAGGGGTATAACAGTCATTTATATATTATATGTCCATATTTGATGATGTTTTTAATGTAATTGTCTTATGGGCAAAATGGTAATTACTTATCATCTATATTTTATATGTTAACTATGTCCATATGTTGCATTTTTGTTCCTATTTTAGATAATTTTTTTATTAAGATGGCAATGTACTTTAAAACTTAGTTGTAAAATGTGTTTATGATAACACAGGGGCATAACAGTCATTTATATATTATATGTTTTATATGTTAATTAAGATTGTTTTAGTAAGGGTATAATAGTCATTTATATGTTAATTAAGATTGTTTTAGTAAGGGTATAATAGTCATTTATATATTTTATGTCTAGATTTGATGTTGTTTTTAATGTAATTGTCTTATGGGCAAAATGGTAATTACTTATCATTCTATATTTCATATGTTAATTATGTCCATGTGTTGCATTTTTGACCCTGTTTTAGATAATTTTTTTTATTAAGATGGCAATGTACTTTGAAACTGAGTTGTAACCTGTGTTTATGCTAACACAGGGGTATAACAGTCATTTATATATTATATGTTTTATATGTAAATTAAGATTGTTTTAGCATGGATATATGTGTCCATAAATTGTTATTATGATAAAACAAACAAAATTATATAATTTCCTGCTAACTGTGTTTGTATTAGATCGGTTTTACTGGATTCCTTTCTCTTTTGGTTAATGTTTTTGTTTTTTTTGGTAAAGCAATTATTTGCAAACAACCAGATACCCCACTTGGTAAGTGTCAATGTAGTTATTGGTATATTTTGGAGTGTCATGGGTTCGAAACCAATTACCAACATTGTTTTTAATGTCTCGATATGTCCCTGATCATTCACTTTTTTTATCAATTCTCCACATGCCCCTGATCATCTAGACTCATTGCGTAAATATACCAAATTTGACAATATGAATTCCTATCGATTCAATCGCTGATAACTACAAAGGCACTGCAACTACATTTTTTCTTCAACTAGAAATTGATGCGTCAAAATCAAATTCATATAGGTACAAATACTACATTTAATTAATACAAGAAATTACAAGTATTTTTCTTTCAAGATATTGGATTTATTAGTAATGTGATCTATTTTTTTTATCCACACCAACTATTTGTTAAAATGGGTCAATAAATAGGAAACATATATTGCTTGTTGACGCTGTTGTAAGCTGAATATGGATAAGTCTTGGATGGGAGCATACAGAACATCAGAAACCTATGTAAAAGGTGTTGCAAAATTTATCAAATATGAAGTGCACAATTACAAGATTTCTAAACATATGGAGCCTGCAGATACCAAAAAAAAATATAAAAATTCTCTGTCCATGTGTTAAGTGTGTAAACCACATATGTCATTCGGTGGATGTGGTAGATGATCATCTATTCAGGAATGGAATTGATCAAACATACACAAATTGGAATAAGCATGGAGAAACAGAAGAACCACCAAGAAGTTATGTATATGAACATAATTTTGACATGGATACGTCAAACGTTGTAGATTCCACGAACATGAACACAGAAATGCCAACAGATTCTGCAGAAACTATAGAGATGGTTAAAAAAGCTGTAGAAGAAAATCTTATTAGGAACCCTGATAAGTTTAGAGAACTGATAGAGGATGCCGAGAAGCCCCTATACACAGGGTGTCATAATTTCACGAAGTTATCTGCAATCATTCAACTAGTCAACTTGAAGAGTAAGTATGGAGTATCAGATAAGTGCTTTACAAAATTATTAGTTTTGATAAAAAAAAACGTGTTACCAGGAGGAAACACAATGTACAGTAGTACATATGAGGCGAAAAAAGCATTTAAGGCAATGGGTTCAACGTATACTCAGATACATGCATGTGTCAACAATTGTATACTTTATAGAAAAGAATACACAGACTTGGCAGCATTTCCTACTTGTGGTAAATCAAGATGGAAGGTTGATGAACAAAAAAAATAAAATTTACAACAATATTCCTGCAAAATGTTTGTGGTACTTTCCAATTATTCCGCGCTTCAAGCGTCTTTTCCAGTCTAAGACAACTACAAAAGATTTAACATGGCACGCAACAGAAAGAATGGTGGATGTTGGAGTTTTAAGTCACCCAGCTGATTCACCAGCATGGGCTGGCATTGATGAAAAATATCATGATTTTGCTAGCGAACCAAGGAATTCGCGACTAGGCATTTCGGCGGACGGGTTGATGTGAACAGAGGAAATAGGAGTCATAGTGTTTGGCCTGTTTTAACTTTCATTTACAACCTTCCACCATGGTTGTGTATCAAGAGAAAGTTCATCATGCTTTAGTTATTGATTTTGGGAACTCCATGAAATGTATTGATGTGTTCCTAGTACCTTTTATTGATGATCTGCAATTATTATTTGATTTTGGAGTTGAAACATACGATGCATATGCACAAGAGCATTTTAAACTACGCGCAGTTGTGTTATGGACTATTAATGATTATCCTGCTTTAGGTACGTTAAGTGGTTGCCCATACAACGGTTTTCAAGGTTGTGCTGTGTGTGGTGAAGAGACACACTGCATTAAACTCACTGAATCGAATAAACAGAGTTATGCTGGTCATAAAATATTTCTACCGTATGATCACCCATTCAGAAGACAAAAGAAGGCATTAAATGGACAACAAGAGTTCTCACCCTCTCCAGAACCTATGAATGGGGAGGAAATATATAACAGAGTAAATTTTATAATTAATAAATAGCGAAAGGTTAATAAGGGCAAGGAGGCAGACATCCAACAAGCATCAAGTGGAAGAGGTGGGAAGATGAATAAAAAAGAGAAAATCACACCAACTGGGTACTTCAGATGTGGGCCAACAAAATAATACATACTGGAAGAAATTCAATATATGGTATAGACAATTAAGGTATTGGCCCGACAATATCGTTCCACATTGTATAGATTTTATGCATGTGGGAAAAAAACGTGGGTGTGAGTTTAACAGGAACTGTTTTGAACGTTCCTGGGAAGACGAAAGATGGTTATAAAGCTCGATTGGATTTGGTTCATTATGGACGGTACTCCTGTATCAGCTGCTAAATCGGTAGAAATTTCTGCAGAACTATTCAGCAAATCGCATTTCTTTGTATTGCAAAATACATCTGAAGTACTCCTATATATCAAGTAAGATTTTTAAATGTATGTTTTTTTATAATAATATTAACATTAACATATTGACAGACGACACATGGAATTTTTGGAACATCTACACCCTACTAAACGAAAGGCACATCTAGAACAAGAGCATAGTAAAACATTTGGTCATTGGTTACAAAAGGAGGTATATTGTTTTCAAATATGTTGTGTTCTTTGTTATTTTTGGATTGATTTAATTCATAATCTAATTACAATTCAGGTAGAGATAGAGTTAGGTGCTTGTAGAGAAAGTATAACAGAGACAATGAGATGGATTTCACATGGACCCAATGAGAACATTATTAAATACGATGTATATGCTATTAATGGATATACTTTTTGTACAAAAGCTCGTGAAGGTAAATTTTACCAAAACAGTGGGGTTAGTGTTGTTGCAACTGACACACACATCAGTAAAAAAGTTGTAACATATGCCAAAAACACTTAATATATGTGTTTTACAAGAGATATGGGTACTAGATTATCATTTTAAAAGAATTCCAATTTTCTTGTGTGACTGTGTTAACGATAGAAAAGGGATAAAAAGGGATAAATTAGGGTACACACTAGTTGAACTAAAAAGATTAGGCCATAAAGGTGATCCCTTCATATTGGCCTCACAAGCACAACAAGTATTTTATGTGACAGACCCACTCGATCAAAAAATATCTATTGTGTTCAAGACACCTCCCAAAAATTACAAAGATACATATGAAGATGTAGATGAAGAATTTAGTACTATTGTTCCTCATAATGATAACGTATTGCCACGTGTAGACACACTTGACTTGCAGAAGGAAAATGATTATTTTCGTAATGACTATCACGGTATTGTTATACGTACGGTATGTGTTTGTTAATGTCATGAATTACATTTGTAGCGATAATATTTTCCTTCTTTTAACACTTAATGATCTTTATTTTTTGTTTGTAGAAGGGAAAGGCCAAAACTTGAGCATATCATTATGTAGAGAATAAGAAAATGACAAAAAATGACGTTGTACTTTACTTAATGTTTTTTTACCATATTATACCATCAAACTATT